GTTTTTTTAACTAAATTTTGGTTTATTTAAAATCTTTTAATTTTTTTTTTTTTTTTTTTTTTTGAAATATTAAGGTTTTATGTGAGACAGTTTTCTATTTTTTTCTAAAATAATTTTTTATAACTTTTTTAAATAATAAAAAAAAAAGTAGCGAACAACAATCGTCCCAAATAAAACCTAAAATTCCCTTCCATTTGATTGCTAAGAAAGAAAATAAAAGTAGGCCCTTCTACTAGTTTTTTTTGTCTTTTCAAGTTCATGTTGATTGAGTGGGACGTGGGACAATGATGAGACAATTTCATTGATCGCCCCTTGGATGGCCTTGGCTTGATTTGGCGACCTTAGAGGACATTCTCATGTGCTGTTTGGGACTTCGTACTTTGGGTTTTATGCCGCCAATGGATGTTCCTTGCCGGGCAACTGGGTGACGCTGTTGAATCCGGCTAGCTTCATGGCCTTCTAAATACTATTTTTGTCCTTTTACTTCTTTAAGTTAGCTTGTAATCTGTCATTTTTCCTTTGTTGATCTTTTGTAGGACATTTCTCTGTATTTTCCTTCTTTGTTAATGGATTAAATTTTCTCAAAAAAAAAAATAAAAAAAATAAAAGAAGGGTGTTTTACTTGAAGTTTCTTCATGTTGTATCATCCTTGCCCACATTAATTCTACACACTTAGCCATTTAATTAATTAGTGGCTAATTAATATTTATGTCTAGCTATAATTTAGTAAGAGTATTGTTACCTGCTCAGCTGATCCCAAAAAAAAAAATCCCTATCTTAATATGATGATGATAGGTGATGATTATGTTTCCTTCATTAAAGTTTTATTCATTTATTTGCTGATAATAAAGTATTTTCGACTTTTGAGAGGGTTAATCAATAGATCATGATTTAATATTGATCAAAATGAATATTTTAATTTTTTAAAATTAAATTTAAAATGAGTAAATGTATGATTAATGAATTACTTTTATATTTGATGCATCTAAAAATTAAACATAAAACTATTAAATCCATCATTAGCAAATTTATGCAATGTTCCAAATTCTTTCCCCTAAGAGTAGGCTAATAATAATTTTGTATGTCGATTAAGGCTTCGTTTGGGACGGCTTTTTTATTGCTTTCTAAAACGGACTTTTAGTACAAAAATAAAAAAAATTGTAAGCAGTAAAAAAGCCGTCCCAAACGAAGCCTAATACAAACGTTTTAAATAAAGAAATGAATTTTTTAATTATGTTATTGAAATGACATTTCGTTTGTATTTTAAAATTGATGTGCAACAAAGTTTTCAAATTGCTACTAAAAAATCAATCATACAAATTAAAAGAAAAAATTTGTATCTATTTAATTTATATTGAATTTGTAAAAAGCTTGTTTAATTTTATTAATGCTCTATATGAATAGTCAATATTCCATAATTTTTTAAAAAGTAGAAATTTTTAAATTTGTTTTGAAATAATTGATAATCAAAATATATTAATTATATTTTTTAAATTATATTTAATTATTCGAATCATAAAATGAATCATTCATAAATTTACTTCTTTTCACATTTCTTTACTTCAATTTTTATTTTTAATTTTTTTCTAAAAAAGAAAAAATAAAAACTAGGACTAATATGTTAATCATTTTTATGAGGTTATATTCACAGTATATATGCCAACAATCTATTAAAGGAACTGCGGTCATAAAGAGCAACTGAAAGCTAAACATGTGAGTGATAAAAATCAGTTTTTTTTTAATCTCCAATAATAGCAATTAATTCTTCAAAATTATAAATATCACCTTCTTATCTCTTTAATTTATGAGGAAGAGAACATTCTTACATCTCTTGTTAATATAATAATTTTTTTAAACGAGGTTAAGTCCCATAATTTTTTTCTCTTCATATTTTTTGCACATAATATTTTTCCTCTGCATACTGATTTTTTAATCCCCTTTACTGTTTGTTTTTTCAAAATAAAACTGAAATTAAAACATGAAGAATCAAACGCAATTTGTTGTTGTTCCTGACTATTCATAGCTTATTACTTGACCCAAAAGAGAGTTCGAACCAAATGCTTTGATTTTCTGTCCTAGTTGATCCTGATTCGACATTAGAAGTATATTGATTGTTCCCCAATAACCGAATATTTTTTCTGTAAATACTGCAATATTTGATTCCATCTAATAAATCCATTTTCTTTCCTATGAGTTTCCAGTAACGATAAGAATTTTAATTCTTACTGTTCATATGTATGGTTGAATATAACCATACTAATTCGCTATGTAATGGATGATGAGATTCCATTGATACAGAGCCAATTCCAACTACTATTCTAAAGAGTTTTGACAACAGTTCAAATCTCCTCAAAGAAATTTTCTCTTTTTTATTTAGTTTTTAATTTAGCATTAAGTCGACTTTAATTTGATTAGCTGGCTAAACTGTTATTAAACATTGAGTAATAGTGAACACAGCTCCATATAGAAGCCTCTGAGAATGAAACCTACCAGCACTAAGCACGTCCTGCTCAGCATTTTTTTTTTTTTTTTAAAATAGGCATAAAAACAGAGGATTTCAAAGGATTAAATAAGAGTAGGACATAAATCAATCCAATTGAACAATCGCTCAAGTATCATACACCAAGTAAATAGGAATAATTTAATTATTTTAGCTCCTTACTAAAAAACGGAGCTATCTAGTAATTTTTTATAAACTAACTAATTACTATATATATAACTATAGTATGAAGTGCCCTAAATTTCTCAGTTGAAGCTAATATTAACCATTTTAATAGAAGCTTCCTAAAAGTATGAAATAATATGTAAAATTTATCCTATATATTAATATACATTGACTTAAAAACTATTAGATTCTCTTTGAGAGTAATGCTTTATAATAAAAAATCTTATAATTCCCTATTTTAAAATAAATTAATTAATTTTAAAAACTCATCATTATATAATATTCACATAGCCTTAATTTTTATTTCAAAACATTAAAATTTTTCAAACTTTCAAGATAAAAGATGGCAAGACAAGGCCAATCTGCACCCAAGTTGTTGGAAGAAGCTCCAGCGGCTGAAATTAATCCTCCACAATAAAGTTGTAGCGCAAATTATTAGCAATACTGAAGCTACAAAGAAGAGCTGAAAGATTAGAAATCGCTTTTAAAATAAATACGAAGCATTAAAGAAGAAGCTCAAAGGCTATGAATAGGGTGTCAATTTCGAGTAACGGGTCAAGTTAGGGTCAATCACCAAGTTTTCGGGTTCAAAAAGCTCATATCTCTAAAATTTCCGGGTCAAAATGGATTCTCGGTCAAAACGGGTCAATTTTGATTTCTAAGTCACCCCGACCCCAGTTTTTAAAAAGGTCAATTTGTATGAAACCAATCCGACCCATTTCAGGTCCAAGTTGACCACTAACCAAAATTTTCAAATGGATTTATGTCAGACTTTCGTGTTGTGTCAAAATATTGACGCCCGCTCGACTATGATTAAACTTAGCATTCATTTACAGGCAATTTGGCATTGCAACAGCCTACAGCCCTGAAGCTTAGTGGTATTTCATGGTGGTGGGTGACTTAACATCCATCAATCATTTTCCCCTGAACTTAACTTCAAGAAGCACTTTCATGCAATTATTCAACTCTCCAGAAATTCATCCACCCAAAAGATAAAATTAGCAAGCAACTATCCTATCCGGGATGCTGTATCATCCAAGTTTTTGCGTTGCTTGTTTGAATTATTGGTGAACAGCAGAAGTCATAGCACGCAGAAAATATCTATTCTTGAATAATATATGTTGCTCAATATCAAAGTGGAATCAAGCAAGCTGTAGCAAGAAAGGATGATCAAAACCTCATTGGCGACTAATCGTGTGGTGGTTAACTTAGGTCGGAAAGTAATGAAACCTTGTAAGTTTCCTTTCTTCATCAACTAAAGTTCACGTAAGTGAGATATTTATCTAATAATTGAAATGGAAGTAAGAGAGAATGTGAGAAAGATTTCTTTCTTGCTCTTTATATTTCCACATCACGGTGGCCAATTTCATTAATCAAAACATAAATACAAGTGAGTTACAATCAAGCCTGTAAAAGAGTCGACAAATATTAAAATTTAAGATCATCATAGATGCCAAAACAAAGAAGGAAAACAAATTATTTGCAAAACCATTTCAAAAGAGGACCAAAATAAAAACCCAAAAATGAAGCAGTTATTTCGAAGGAAGCAACAAGTTGAAGGCAACAGACCAAAGGTAAATAGTCTAAATCTAGGGATTGCAATAACTGAGGAAGCCTGGTTGAATCTTTATCATTGCCCCCAAAAAGAAGAGAGAGTATTCACAGCCCAGACATTCAGATAATATAATATCATAGATGCAACCCGAATCCTCATAACAGCATAAATAACAGAAGAAGATAAAGGAAAGAAAGATCACAAGAGTCAAAAAAAGGTGGTTCTAAGGAAGAGGTTTGCTAGCAAAACCAAATAACTGACAAATTTTCAGCTCAATATTCAAAGATATAGCTTTGTGAGAAGCAGATAATGTTAGCACAAAAACTAGTTTTTTTAAATGTATCCAAAATGATAATTAGATTGATAATAGAGTAATAGATTTATGATTGATGTAGCCGAATACCAAGAGGTCTTCAACATAAATTGGATGAGAGATGAGTGTGTTATTTTTTTAACAATACTAGAGAAAGTATCATTGCCACAATACATATTGATTAACCTGAAAGAGCCAACCATTATGACGAAAACAGAAAACGAGAAAGGGGGCATACCTGTCTGAGGCTAGTGGAGGAAGGAAATTAATATCTTAACTCCCCATTAATAACATCAAAGAAGTGAAGGTATGATGTGCAAGCTCTAATCCAATAGATTAAAGTTTCTCGAAAGCCCAAAGCTCTCAATCAATCATAAAGGAATTGACAGTTCACATTGTTGAAGGCCTTCTTAAGGTCAATTTTAGAGCAAAAATATTTAGGATGGCTAATAGAGTTGAAACCATGATGCAAATCAATAGCAAGAATGGTGTTATCAGTAATATCTCTGGGAAATATAAATATTAACTTAGTGGCGTCACGACGTCCATTAAGTTTAGGAAGAAGAGGTTTGATTCTATGAGCTATAAGCCTGGCAATGATTATATAAATCGCTTTGAAATTTGATATTGGTCGAAAATCATTTGAGGTCTCGGCATGGGTATTTTCAGAATTAGATTTATGATTGAGTGTTTAACATGATTTGAAAGTTTTAACGTAGAAAAGAAGTAGAGAACAACCTCGAGGAAGGAGTGGCTCATGATATGCTAAGTGTCCTTAAAAAATTTGGATGTAAAGCCATCTGACCCTTGAGCTTTATATCCTTTAATGTTAAAGAGAGTCTATTTAACTTCCACATCAATGAAAGTAGCCATGATTTTTTGACAATCATAAGTGAATAGCACATGCTCAATGAGTAAGCCACAATTAATAAGGTATTGGAAAAGCACCATCTCTATAATTGAGGAGAGTAGAAAAATAAGAGATGGCTTCACTGGCCATATCATTTTGTGAGAGTAAAGAACTATTGGTACATGAGATCTCTCTAATTTAATAATGATTCTCTCTATTCATGTCTTTCGAATAAAAGAATTTAATATCATCTTTCCTTTTTAAATATCCAAAAACATTTAGCCCATTGTTACATCCATTATTTTTCAGAATTGGCAGCAACAATCAAATTATTGAGTAGCTAGAGCTTAGCCAGAAGGTCTTCATTGAGAGGAGGATGGGACTACAAGCTTTGATAACTCTAATTTGGTCTTCATTTAGAGTGAAAATAGTATTAGAAATATAAGTAAAATAATTCTAAATAGAACCGTTGGGAGTAACCTTGGCATTGATCAACCTATTACACAGAGCAAAGATTGGAGCAAAGATTGGACCTCCAATAACAGGGAGGTTCCAAGCCTCATGAATGATGTCAAGGAAGTAATGACAATGGCTCTAGTAATTATTTTACATGAATGGCGCTTAAGGTTACAAGAAGTCCCCATCTAAATAATGATGGGGGATGGAGGTGAGAGAACCAAGAACTTTAAAATATGAGGGGAAAAAAGTGCATCAAAAAATTATTACATTCAGCTTTGTCCAACAGGCACCTAATAAGATTATCTAATTGTAGATTAAGGCTTCGTTCGGGTCAGCTTTCTTATTGATTTCTCAAATATTTTTTTAGTACAAAATTTATTATTCAAGAATTTTTTGTACTAAAAATTTGCCTTAGAAAGCAGTAAGGTGGGCTTCAAAAATTTCTCACCTCAGCTTCTCCTCGCCGGCTTTTTCTTTTTGGCAGGGAGAGTTTTAACAAATTTAAGTTCCAGTGTAAATTTTCAGAATGCATAGTGGGTTTTAGATAAGACACTATCCAGAGATTTCGCCCTCATTTTTGCGAGGACTTTATAATCTGAGTTATGGTTTTTTATAGGTGTAAGCCCCTACAGCTAATTACCCCTCCCGATAACGAGAGAGAACTTTCGATTAAGGCTAGTCGTAAGATAGATCACATAAGTTGCAAACACAGTGTATAATAACAACAATTTTAGGGTTTGAGTTTGAATTTGAATTTTGAAGTTTATCACCAAATACTTAAAACGGATGATGGGGGAAATGAAGACAAGCCCAATCAAGATCCCATGGTTCCGTCGTCCCGGGCTGTCATATTCGTTAGTCTACTTCGTCAAAGGAGCAGTCGACCCAACCTGACAGAAGGCACTTTATCGGCAGCCATGAGTTGCTTCGTCCAAGGATATCTTGTAGAAATGAGGTTGTCTAAGGAGATAGATTTGAATCCACCTTAGCTGACAGAGGGTTTTATGCTTTCGAATATACTCTATGATTCATTACTCAAGGATTTGACGCTATTAGGGAACATACGAACTTTGGTCGTGATTGTAATATAATGACTCCATTTTGCGGAAAAATCACCCGATCATAGGGCACATGCCACGTCCCTGCTTGCAAGAGACTACTTGAGGATGAATCTTAGTGATGAATCTGACATGGCATTTTCTTTTTGTGAGATGAGATTAATTTTAAATTTACCACCCCCGATAAACGGTTGCAAAAAGTGGATGATTTTGGTTTTAAATTTTGGTGATTAGATTTTAAAGTTTTTATAGGCTTTTGAGAATCGACCCCTCTAGTTGAAATTTACTGTCAACACGGCCATCATCGGGGTGACGTTGAAGTCGCTTTAAATTTATATATTTTACTATGATTTTCACAAGTATTTTGAAATACAGATTCTCCTCCGGTTGAGATTTACATTCAGTACGACCATCTTCAGGATGACATTAAAGTCACTTTTAAAATATTTATATTTTGTAAAAATTTAAGAGGCATTTTATAATTCAAGTTATATCGACTCCAGTCCTTTTAAAGAGGATGATGAAACTTAAATATTTGACCCCAACAACAATCTCTGACCATTGAATTTAGATGTTGGATATGACAATCAGAGCATATGCGGGATGTGTTTTCAGCATATAGATTGGAGCTATTATAGATATATCAGCTTCTGTCCGCTTATACAAGTGTTGCAGATCCAGTGGCGCCCATTGTCGATGAATTTTGCTTCAGAAAATATATTTTAGCATTTCAAATAATTTTATCCTCTTCATGATTATTCATGCTTTTGTTATTTCCATGGTCCAATAATGTTGCATTTTCCTTACTCTCATTTTGCCAACAACACTTCACGTATGCCACTTTCAATAACTTTTCTATTATTTAACACTACAATTGTGTGGGCATTACTAAAATGTGGATAGCCTATGTGCTATCATAACTACTATCCTATCAATGCATTTTATATCAATCACTCAGATTCGTAGTCCAGTACACTAGTTACTTGCACTGTTGCACATAATGCATAGTGGCACCCAGAAGGCTTAAACCACCATTGCTTGTACAATTTCAAATTTCAAATTTTGTTTTTGAAGTTCATTGACTAAGAAAATCTCACACTCATTCATTATAGATCTCTATCATCTGAACATATATTTCATACTTAATATCCTCTATAATATAAGATATTTTTGGAAGAGATCATTAATAGTCTTGTTGTTAATTCCAACATCTTTAACGGATTCAATTTCTGGTCCACACATAGAATATATTTTGCCAAAATCGTCATTGGGAATGAACATCAAGAACAATGAAAAAAACTCTAGTAGAATCTTATTTAATCCAAACGCGTCCATTTAAGATGTTGACCTCCACTCAACTCCAAAATACCTCTGCTCGACGATCATTTCACTGAGATCCTGTTGAGTTATTGTACATTCGGCGTCATTCGCATCTCCTCTATGAATTCCTGCGTAAATCCCACAATGACAGCCTCGATCGTGCTCCTATTTGTGTCGTTAAAATGCGAACTTCGTTCGTTTCTTCTTCCACACAGGAAATCCCCCAGCTGATCTCCTCTTCCACCCTCAGCCGAAGCCCATCGAACCCCTCATGATTCTAATCTCTTGTTCGGATACCTCCAACCGAACACAAACCGTACCTTACGCCTAATTCGACTTCCCCTCGCCAGCCAATTATGATCCTTCAGACCACCGCTGCCCGACTATATTCCTTCCGACCTCTATCGCCCGCCAACTATGATCTCTCCGACCAACAACTCTAGACTACAGTCCCTCTGATCGCAGTTGCCCAACTAAGATCTTTCTGACCTCCATCACCCGCCGACTATAGTTCCTCCGACCAACATCATCCACAGACTATGGTCCTATTGATTAAATAAACATGTCAATACTGATTCTCCCAAATCCCACTATGTAATGCAACTATATATGATGTATATTTGTTATATTGAGCCAAGGACTTCTCCCCAAGGAAGGGCTTCATTTGTAATAAACTGCAAACATTAGTGGATTCATTTAAACTGGGCAAGGCCCAGTGATTTTTCCCCTTTTCGGAGGTTTTCAAGTAAAAACTATTATGTCTCTTGTAAACGCTACACCTCTATCTTTCATCTGTTTGTGTGTTGGATCTTCATACAAAACTAAGACGTTAAACTTTATATCTCTCTACCATAATGAATGTTCCAGTCCACAACATGTATTTTAGTAGCAACACTAAGGTTGATAAAAGTTTTATTAGAGATGTTGAGTCATGGGATAACACTGCCGTTGCCAGGTCCCAAGTCCTGGATGAGAAAAGTGGAGGGTTGCGTTAGGTAGTCGACAGTGAAGAAAAGTAACATGGTGTATTCACTATTGTAGAAATGGAGTTAAGAATTTTTCTTAATAGAAACGCCCAAATTTATTATTATTATTATTTTTGGGGGTGGGGGTGGGGGGTGGGGAGTACTCGCGTTTACACTAAGAAATATTGACATGAATATTCTAGCAAGGTAACTACTTTATTTGACGTCAGCTGAACTATATGCAATACCAATAATTCGTGTTGAAACTTAAGAGGGCACAGAAACCAACAGAAACAAATAATAAAGTTCAGCATGGCTATGAACACATATTTTCTTTTCAGTTGGTCAGTGTCATTTATTAGCAATTATTTGCAGACTTGAAGTGATACTCATCCACGGTTGAGTAAATGTGGCCCACATCGACTAGGTAGTTTATGGCTTCCCTAAAAAAATGAAGGCTTTGTCATGCAGATGTCCAAAACTCATGAACAGAGAAAGTAGGAACGGATATATTTACATGATTTGATTCTTTGGTAAACCCAGCCTTCTGAAAAGCTCATCAACATGCAACCCATGTTCACTGGCACTGCATCAAATGAGATTACAGTTACAGCTTACAATATCAGCTCAAATTGGGTGGCACTAAGGAGTTAGGGGATCACGGGGGCAGAATTTGGAACTAATATCACACAGATTAAGAGGACAAAATGCATCCAGTTTCCAATAAGCATGCTAACAAACCAAATTGCCAATTTATGGGGATGGATATTTTGCCGCCTTGACTGGCATGGGACATGATCAACTCAGCAGACTACCTACTAAATTTATTGAGGCTTTCCATATTTATCAGAATTTAGCAAGTGATGGGTTGAACAAAAAATGAAAAAAGAAAAAAGAAAAACTCTACCACTGGAGATTAAGCCTTCGTTTGAGACGACTTTTTTGCTTTTTTTTAAATAGCTTTCTAGTATAAATATTAAAATTTTTGTACTAAAAAGCTGTTTTAGGAAGCAGTAAGAAAGTCATCCCAAATGAAGCCTAAATTATTATAATAACTCTGCTAAAAAGTATATTGCAAAGGAAGAAATTAGCTCATCATGTTTGAATCCTTCCTGCTATAATAACACAAATCAGAAGAAAAAAATAATCTACTAAATCACAGAGTGAGTGATTAGTAAAAGAAATGTTTGTAAAGCCTATCCTGCTAGTATATTATCACGCACAATGGTAATTATTATTTATCCACTGAGAGGTTTAACTGAATATCATATAACCCACATGAAAAATGAAAAATATATATATATTTAATATTATCAACCTTACATTATATTTTTGCATTTAAGTTCTATTATTTTAACAATAAAATGACTCCTTTGCCAAAAATCTAAAACCTTAAGTAACGCATTAAGGAACTTATCTAAAATGTATGAGAGCAACAAATAATCTATCAATAACACTGATTGGTTGTTTAGATTTTTATATGGCTTCTATTTGGTAAAACAAAAGATGGCAATTACTCCAAATAATATAACTAGATACATATACTAAACAAGTTAAAGTTGAAAAGAAAAATGAATCGTAAACAAACATGCAGTAAAAAGGCAAATTTCTATTTCAATCTTCAGTGTATGATAAATTATTTGATAAATGTAACTCACAGCATAGCTGGTTCTTGGAACATTTTCAAAACCAAACTATAGACATCTTTTCCTGATCCATCCATGGTTGAGTGAGCCAGAAACTAGTCAAAAAGAGGATATTATGAGACCATTGATACAAATTAGATGCATGTTCAAAGAAGTTTTCTTTATTTAAAGGGACTAATTATTTAGTTATCAGGAGATATAACTAAATTCTAAAGATATATAACTTGGTTGGGGAAAGGCGCTAGGTACTCCCTTCCATTTGAGAATGATTGGCCTATGTTAATATTCATCTGCATTCGAGCAGTGTCTCCCTGTCAAATCAGAATTTTAACTCAGTATAGTGCTGAAGTACATAGATTCGCATATACACTATATCAGATATAGGTATGCGTCTGGTATAGTTAACGAAGGCAATTGAACCTCAAAAAATGGCAGTACCTTCACTCTGATGTGCCCCAGATGTATATGAATGCACTCTAAGAAGTGGAGTACAATGTCATTGAAATCCGTTAATAACCTGAAAATAAGATCGTGCAGATTGAGGTCAATTAGCCTTACAAATTGGCAACAACATTGCGTAAGATTATGCCTAGGAAATAGCAGAACTCGATTCCAAATGATATCAGCCACAGGCATTCCATCATTACTCATTAGGACCCATTTGGTTGATTGCATATAGAAAACAAGCTTTAAAAATTGATGAATTCACTCACTCATTAGGAATCTTAGAAGAGTTTTTGTTGTTTAAAATTCATTAGTGATTTCTAAATACAACCGGCCAAATGACGAAATCCAATAAATTCATCAGTTTCCAAAACATGCTTTCTAATTTTGATGTCGCAGAAGAACCCAAATAAACTATCTTTAAGAGCACCAATGAGAGAAATAGCATCAACATAGGAGAAACAAACTCACACCAAAATAATTTGGCATAGAACAATACAACCACAGAGACAAGAATAACAAAATTTATGTAATTCGATCAACAATTACCAACTTCCAATGGGTAAGAAGGCACAAATAATTCACTATCAAAAATATATAGAGGAATGCAAAATAAAAGAAGTACCCAATATCTACTAAATTCTTTTCCAAGAAAACTAACAAGAAGAGTGGAGCAGATCTCACCAAATCATGGAGAAACCTTTCCGAAGTGGAAGCCAAAACAGAAGAAAAAAATAATTATTCCCTCACAAAATCAACAAGGAAAAAAGCAGTTTGCATGTCCTTTGATATTTGATATAATTCCTAATAACTTCTCCACCATATATTGAATCCTCCGCATCAATATAACATAAAAAGTGCATAAAAAATCAATGGTCAAATCAACAATCCTCTTCCTAACCCAAAGCCTCGAAAGGCGGCACAAATTGTGCAAACCAATCAAGTATAAGAATTTCCTGAACTTCTAAATAAGGATCACCTTGATGAGCATGTTAGCAAAATTGTGCTCTATACGGATATCTAAACTAAAACTTTCACCATCTTGACTCTTCTCTGTGATAAAGTGATGCTAAAAATAAACATCTTTGATTCTCTCGTGATGCATATGATATCCGACTAAATAAATAACATTCAGAGTATCATTAAAAGCTATTAAACCAACCTAGTGCTAACTTAAGTCTTCAACTAAACCTCTCATCCAAATGACCACTTTAATATCTTCTCATATGCCCTTCCTCCAAAGTGTAACCATTCTAACTAATGGCACGTCTAAAGAGAGTAAAAACATATTGGGACTAAGACCTTCTCCTATCAAGATTACTTTCATAATCTAAATAAAATGTCCCACAAGCATTCCAATCAAATCTTTCGTAGCTATACATCAAACAATAACACATAGTGCCTCTAAGATATCTCAAAATTCATTTCACTTCTTCCCACTGAACCCAACTAAGCATTTCCATGTATTTGGTTACAAAACTTGTAGCATGTGAAATATCTAAATGCTGAGAGATATCACAATACCAACATAATGCCTTAATTGCACTAGTATAAAACACTCTAATGATGTACTTCTCTTCTGGTGAGTTTTGAGAAGCCAGAGTTGCAAACCAAATCTTTCTAACCCCTTACTAAATCATTATTACATGAAAAATAAAATGTTTTTCTTTCTATTTATCATCATGTAAGTACCCAAAATTTTCTTAGTTATACCAAGATGTTCCATTTCAAATGCTATGCTCAAATCCACTTTCTATTTTTTGATATATGATATATCTATAACTGCAATCAACATTTCACCAAAATCTAAGAGCAAATACTCAAAAGATGCATCTATAAGCTACTTGTAGTACAAACAACGGTAAAAATAGGTTCTATTGAACTTATGGTTGATCATAAAACTATTGAGTTTTGATATATTTCTTTCAAGGACTACCACAAGACATTAAAACTTCTTCAATACATAATATGCATGGTCTTCCTTTCCTGTAACTTTGAACCAAGGTGGATGTTGCATTTAAATCTCCTCGTCCAAATCATCATGGAATAAAGTTTTCATCACATCCAACTATTCCAATTACTAGCCCTGCTCTACAACCATTTCTAACAATGAATAGATTGAGCTATGCTTAAAATAGGTGAAAAAACCTTCTTAAAGTTCTTACATACGCTCTAATAATGTTTTGTGTGTGATACTATTTTTGCCTCCGTTTCGCACTCTAAATTTGAAGATCCATTTACAACTAACAACTCTTTTATCATTAATGAGTTTAAAAAAACCTTAATCTTCATTTTTCTATACTTATTCCAACTTCTTCTCCATAGTGTAGTCCCATTGCTTGGATTTTCTTTCCCTATTAATCTTCATATAAGTGAATGGTTATTAATTGCCACCAAATTATGCATCACTCCAAGCATATGCAACCATATGAAAACAAGAGAAATCTTGATACTTATATCTCTAAAATGGTCAAATTTGCCTCTTAGCTCTAAGAAGCAAGCATTTGTTCCAATTGTGGTGGTGTCACCCTCTCCTAAGGTTCAAAAATAGTAGGTTTATATGGTGAGTTATCATCCCATTGTTCATGCTCAACCTTAATTGTTCATGCTCACTAAAAGTGTCATATTCATTCTTTTGACTAATCCATTGTGTTGAATTGTATCTACTATAACCATGTGTCTAGCAATGTCTTCCTTGTGACAAAAGTTCTTAAACTCCGAAGAAATAATTCCAAATCATTTCCAATCCTCAATCTGATGATCTTCTTTCATTTCTACTTTCAAACTACGCATTCCACATTTTAAATGTTACAAATACATCACTCTTCTATTTAAGGATACAAATGCATATCTTCTTTGAGAAATCATTGTGAAATTCACCTTTGGATCCAACACTGGAAGAACCATGTATGTCAAAATGAATGTAGTTCAAAATACTCTTATTATTATATACTCTAGTATGGAAATTTAATCTATGTTGCTTATGTTAAGAGAAGTAGAGGTAGACCTAAAAAGACTAGGTTAGAAAATATTAGAGATAACTTTTTTATTATATTTAAATGAGAATTTGATTCTTAACAGGACATAATGGAGAAAAATGATTCATATAGTGGGATTAAGGCTTGATATTGTTGTTTTTTATGATGATTTTGAAGTCTTAATTATCTCAAAATTGGGCAATATTGGGCTTCTCATATTTGACTTATTGGACATTGGTCCAAGATTTAGGTAGTTTCTCCTTGTGTAGCTTTTTATGTTGCTATTTGTTGCCTATAAAAAATAGGCTATAGGAATAGGAGGTATGGTTAAGCAATAAAGAATTTGAGTTCTGCACTAAAAAAAATTTGTCTTCCTTTCTCTCTCTCCCTCTCTCTTGCCGAGAAGCTCAAGAAGAGCTGAAGTAGCTCTCAAAGAACTCACAATTCCTAACAAGTGGTATCAGAGCCTGGTGGAGGCGATTGACGAGGAGGAAGGTGTTCTTGATCAAGAAAGAGAGGAGTCGCTGCAATTTATGCGCTTGGAGCAAGAATCGGCGAGGCCCGCGAACGTGGAAGATTTAGATACGACCCATGCGTCGAAGCATGATCGAATCAGGCACTAAGGTTTTCGAGTTGTCTGGCCGGAATTGAGTGCAGTTGGAAGTTTGCCGCAGGAAGTGCACAAGAAGCTCAAGCGAGCATTACAAGCCGAAGCGAGAGGCGGAGCGGCACGACGTGAGAGCCGAAGTGGGCTTGTGCGGGAGCACTTCTTTCTTGGGAGCACTAATTTCTGAAGTTGACTGCGGTTTAAGAAAGGGATAATTGGAATTCCTTTTTTCGGAAATCCTAATTTTCTTAAGAAAGGAAGTAGTTTACATGGCTTTCAAAGGCAAACAAGTTTCTAGGATTTCTAATAAAAGTTAAAGATTCATGAATGATCGTGGAATAAATAAAAAATTAATGATCGTGGAATACCACGTAACTCCAAGGTTCATAGGTTTATGAATTCTAGATCATCTATAAGACAGGGTGTGCTTTCCCATAGGAGGGCGGGCTGGTTTGCACTATTCAATCGTCGCCAGAATCAAGTCGGAGGCGTGTTGTACGCCTATGAGAGGTGGACCGAAGGCCAAAGATTTAAGATCTTGTTCTTGTTAAAGGTGTAGTGCAAGGTCGCATGTTGGAGTGCGCAGGAGTGTTCGAGGAAGACTAACAAGTCAGTGCTGGAGCTTGAGCTGGAGTCGTGGATTAGAATGCATGGTGGAGGCTGTTCTCGAGCGGGATTGGGCTCGATTTGGCAAGATTGCTCATGGAGTTAGTGCTAGAAGCAAGACCACAGTAGGTGCAGAGATGATTCTATGATTGTAAAACTTGGACCAAGATGGAGATTATTAGGATTGGTTCAAGTTTAGTTTACGTTATTCCACAAGAATTCACAACAATTTAAATGCCTATATATAAGAATTGTATGATATGCATTAATTTGAGAAAATTTTGAATAAAGCTTTAGGATAGAATTTCCTCCAAAAAAATCTATCTTCCTTTCTCTTGCGAGAAGCTCGAGTAGCTCTCAAATAACTCATCACAATTCCTAACATGACTTATCAAGGCACTCTTTTCAACATCATGAACACAAAATTTGGGTAATATTTGCACGCTCAATTGTCCTTGAGAAGTTTCCAATTATATTTTTGAGTGTATAATTTAAGCTCATTTGAACTTAGAAAAAGTCATTCTTGGTATCATTGGTTTTTCCTAGCCAAACCACATTATCGTTACTATGAATTTGTCAAAAATAGTGTTTAGATAATCTCATAATCAATTGTTGACGTCAATAGCTTTGAGATCTAAAATTTGTATTAAAATTTGTGCTTGATCTAGTGAAATTTTCGTGACATATAAGAGTCCATAAAGCATGTAATGCTTGATTTATACTAACAGGGGTGTTTACTCACGAGAAGTGCTGATGCCTATCGCCAAACAATAGTTGATAAGATTTCCAAGAAACAATCAAACATACTATAAATTAAAAGCCCTTAGAAAAAGGCATGACCGCGAAAAAGTGATTATCCATGAAATAAGAGTTTCAGAAAACTGAACACAAGAGGATACAGTTCCAATAAAGTGTTCACACTGCTCAAAGAAATATAAGCACAGTACGAGATAACAGAATGAAACTGCATACTGGACAGAGAAGGCTAACGCATGTCTTTTGCCTTGAAAGCCTCTCAAGTGACCATGGACCTTCACATAAATCCCATTCCTTCATCATCGCTCAACCAAAGTGAAGAAAACGAGAAATCATCAACAATACAAGCAAAAGAGAACCTAATTAAGCGGAAAAACACTTACTGAATAAAAGCAGTGTCGCCCGTATCTGAACTCTCGTTTGCCCTTAAAACATAAATCATAGACGTTTATATCATCCAGAAAACCTAACTTACCTAAGCAATGAATGGACAGCATCTCCCTAAAAGGTTAGCTCACCATCTTCTAAAATCAATCCGTCCAGTACCATCGTCTAGGGTGAAGGACACTTCGGTGTCTCTCTCCATCATGTTCATGACCAGCCCCACCAGCTTGACCTGGATTCGCTAAGATCGTGTTAGGGTTCTTATAGTGATGGAAAAGAGATGAGTGGGAGATTCATTTAAAACAATATATCACGTTGGCAAGCTCTATCCCGTCGACGATAATGGCGGGTTTGTCCTCACTGGAGTGGTAGGCTTCTATGATCTGCTTCGCCGTCATGGGGATCAAGGTATTTGGGGTCCGGATCTGCGACTGGAAATCCATGAATCAGGAAGATGGATTCAAGATATGCGGAAAATTAAGGGAAAAGAGGCGGGGAGCGAGTAGGAGATGAGACCTTGGTGGGAGAAATGGAGGAATCAATGGACTGGGAAGGCAAGAAGGCGCCACCAGTGAATAGGGGGGCTCCGGCGAACTGATCGGCAGACAACATGGCCGCCTGCTTGGGATCTGATGAAAAATATGAGATCCGTGAAACTGAGGTGGAGAAGAGCAGCGATAGAACTGGGAGAGCGGGGAAATTCCCGCCGTGGCAAACAAGTATTTATAGGCTCATTAAGGGGTTATTTGCGTTAGCATCACTAAACTTTTCTGTAATTGCACTGGCTTTTAAAACAAAAGCTCCTTAGAAATAAGCCCTTATAAGTACTTTAAAAGAAACACAACATGTGAGGTGCTAATAAAATATATTTACGAGCAAGTTAAAATATACCTCTATGGTTTATAATTATTATTCTGTTGAATGGCAGTTCAATTGACATTCGGATCATTCTTATTATAGATATATATATGTCATTGTTTCATAACTCATATCACAAAGTTTTAAATATTTTACTTTATTTTAATAAATTTTTAATCTACTTGTGTATCTTTTTAAAGTTATGAAATAATTTTATTAAAATATCTAATAAATTTAAATTCCTAAGAAAAAGAATAGCTCGTGTCTTATAGTCATATTATTTACATCTATCAATAAATTTAAATAAGATTTAATAAATATAATGATTGTTTTAAATTTTAATGTCATTCTATTAATAATGAAATAAATTCTAAATGATTTCTACCGTACTTTGAGTGACATAATTTCTTACAAATTTTAGAATAAGATATTCTTTACCTTTTTTTAGTATTGAAATCTACAAAAATGAGAGAATATGAAAGATAATTTGAAAGTGTTTTTTTTTTTTTTTTTTTTTTTTTTTTTGAGATAGAAGATTTTAGAATTTTGTACTAAAAAATAGTTTTAAAAAGCATTAAGAAAACCGTCTCAAATGAAGCCTGATACTCTTCTAGTAAAAACATCATTTTAAAAATAAAAATATGATAATTTTGAAAATTTTGAGAGTTATACATTTCAAACTCATTTCAAAATAAACCGTCTCAAATGAAGCCCGATACTCTTCTAGTAAAAACATCATTTTAAAAATAAAAATATGAGAGTTTTTAAAATTTTGAGAGTTACACATTTCAAACTCATTTCAAAATAAAGCTTTTTTATAAAGTTTCTCTATCATTGTAGCTTAACTAAAATTGAAGGGTATTGAGTCCTCAAGCATGAGGGATTAGCACTAAGTTGCTAATTATTATTGTTGGTGGAGGCTGAATCGACACTAAAAACTGCAAGTAGAATTTGCTAATAGCTTCCAACAATACTGGTGGCAATTGCAAGTGTGATGTTAGTTGCAAAAACTAAGGACATATATGACAATTATTTCATTAACAAAGATGGATAAGTCTTCAGAGTGTAGAGTGATACTGATTTGAGCTTTTATGAGGCAATGAGTTGTGTTCAGATGGTCTCAACAACTTAGGAGGTTGTTTTAGAGAAGAAATATATGGCTCCTCCATTAAATTGATAGTTGGAAGACTCCAAATCAACACTAGGTATTATTATATTAGAAAATTTTGCTAAATCTATTGGTGACCTAAAATTATGGACATAAAATCTTATCATTTTTCTTGGAGAATGTAATGAAAATATTATGGTGATTTGATTTTTTGTGAGACAATATGCCAAAATTCATTCCATAAATATGGTGTTTTCCTCGTGTACTTTATGCAATGACATATGGCTTCAAGCTCAAATGTTGCTCTCTAAAGTGTTGAAGAGGGTTGGTTATACAAAAAGCATTTCAATGTCATTCGAGATTATGATAGGACAACGGTTCTTAAGCATCGATGCAAGCATGATGTCCGTGAGCTTTCAAGTGGCCAAAGCCATAAATCGCACAATGCTCCCCTAGCAGATACATGTTTTCTCATTGATTACTTTTACTATGGACATTATTTTTTATGTTATTTCTCTATCCTTTACTATGGACATTATTTTTTATGTTATTTCTCTATCCTCACTAATATGCATGGTTTGCCTTCATGGTAGCAAAGCCTCTTGTCAAACAACCTTAGGAATTAACATTCATCAATTGGAATATTGGCTATCGCCTCTTGCCCTTAATCCCAGCACTACTCCTACCTTTCTAAACATATACACTATACTCATGGAACTTATAGAATCACCCACAATCCATGTCACAACCAATAACCCCAATAAAATACACACAATTCCCATCCCCCTAAACTAAAATTGTTAATGTCTAACAACAATAATATCACCAATGTTCAACCCTCCATCGACAACCATCACACTTGGCACTCTTCATGATCAAACTTTTTTAGGAAAATGACTTTGGAGGCTACGACCCCACACCATGTCCAGCCAAACAACTTCTACAAGATAGTGACACCATCACACGTAACCTCGGCTATAACATATGGATGCTCATTGATCAAGATCTTATTGTTGCACTATATTCCATCATCTTGACCTCTCTCCTCCATTATCTACTTAGTCCAATATTTGTATTGAGATGTGGTTCACCATGAATCAGCAAATTCAATCATCAAATTGCCTCCTTCAACTTAAGAATGAGTTCCCTCACATTACCATGAAGGACCAACACATAACTCAATATCTTCTGTAATGAGCTTCCACCAACCCCTCTCATCTACCACTCACAATATAACAATTTCCTCCAATTGAATAAATTCTTCTTGCCCCCACAAATCATTGGTGATCCTATGATAACATGCACTAGGACATAGGCTCCCAAGCTTAAAATCATATTCAACCTCTCCCACATGGTCACCTCCTCAAGCATTCTCACATATTATTCAGCTACAACTAAAGTTGAGAATTGGCATGCCATGCCTCAAGAGTTTAATGCCCTTAAGGTTTAAGGTGCTTTGGTAATTATTCACCTTCTCCTCATTAAAATGTTCTTAGTGGAAAATGAAGATTTAGAATAAAATATAACTCTAATGGCACTATTGTTAAACATAAAGCCTACATATAGCTAAAGCATATATGCAAAAACATTGCATCGATTACGCCAAAATTTTCAACCCAATATTCAAAATACTCGTCATTCAAAAAGTACTAATGGTGACTATTCATCATAGTTGATTGATCACTCAATAAGATGTTTCAAACACCTTCTTTGCGGTGACTAGCTAAAAACTATATATTTGGCTCAACCTCATGGCTTTTAAGATCCCCAACATATTCACATGTCTATTAAAAAAAGCCATATAATGCCTCAAGCAAGTTCCATGCTAATAGTTTGCTACTTTATTAAACTAGCTTTGTCAACTTTGATTTCACCTCAGAATCACATATCATTCTTTCATAATTTATAGTAGCAATGACACTCTAATATATATCTTAATCTATATGAAAACTAATGTGGCATTGGGCTAGCACATTTGATGATGGCTTTAAATTGTGACCAAATCTTCTAATGAGTGTTAGGCATGTTATTTAGGCACTAGAGGGGTTTTAGAATAAGCATATTTAAAGTTTAAGCAAGTATGGTGTAAATTAATCAAAACCTAAGAGCTTCTTCAAATAGATTTAGTGTTTTTTTTTTGTGATGAATATATGGACCCACTGATATGAAAAATATTTAGAATATTTAAAGTAATATATTTATATATGATATGAAAATTTTCACAATTTTTGAAATTTTTTTCTAGGTTTTATAACAAAACTAGGTCATGCAATAACAAAGTAAGGCCATCAACTTTTGGTTGGATGTTTGGACTTGGGGGATGAGTTTAGGGCTAGAGAAATATTATGGAATCACTTATAGGTGGTAGAAATATATCTCTCAACAATATCTATAGTTTTAGACTATATTTCAAATGGTTTAAGTTATTCAAACACTCAAAGGAATAAGAAAAGTTATTGCTTCCTAAATCCTTGATTATTAGCTTCTAATAGGAATTTGTGTGTGGATTTATGAAAGAAATAATGATGAGATGATTTGGTTTTATAGGAGAGCGTTATTAAAAGAGATCCATGTTAAGAAACAAAAAAAATTTTGAACAAATATAAAGCCAAATCACACATCAATGTGAAAGAAATTGAAGATATCACACTAGGGGTGTCAAAATGGGTTGTGGGTTGGGTTTAAGTCAAACTAGATAATGATCAATTGTTGTTTAACACGACCCATACCTGACCCGTTTTTTTCAAATGTGTCAAAAATTCCAACCCGGACCCGAACCTCCATGCTACAAACTCGAGTCAACCCGACCGGAAAAGGCTGGCCGAGGCGAATCGAGCATGAGCTGAAGGCAGGTCGTGTGCAAGTTGATTGCGCCAGGGCTGGTCGCGCACAAGCTGCGCAACCGCGACTCATGCAAAAAGCAGGCAGAGGCAGAACGTGCACATTGCACAGTCAAGACTTGCGGGCTGCGGGATGCCCATGCAGGATTTGACGGAAGGACAATTAGACTCGTGGTAGGCAGGACGCCGCATAATGTGACTGAACCGTGCGAGCAGCAGACTGTGCGGGACCGCGAGGTATGCGACGTGGGGTCTGCCACTTGACACGCAGTTAGGTCTAATGAGTCGGACGGTGCTGCATGTACGAGATTCTGGTGGGAGTGACGATGTTGGAATGGACAGTGAAAACTAAAAACTACAAGAAGTATAGCACATATATAGAGGAATCACCAAATATGGAAAACTTCATAACAAGTAAATAGGTAGCATAGATGAAAGTGAGGATGACTTGAATGATTTAATGAGGTCTAAAGTGTGTTCCTAGAGCCACTTCAAGAGTATTGATGTAGGAAGGATCCTCAAATTCAGTCACTCGAAGATGACTTTAAGTGCAAGAGCATTGACCACAACTATGATAATTGATGAGACATATTACCCCAATAGTAGCAAATAATCAACTCCACCACCTTGATGAATTGAGAAGAAAAGGCATCAAAATGAATTTTCAAGGGAGATCTTTGAGGTGAAGCCTCCTAAAAATTTCAAATTCACCCACATTAACTCTTACAAAGAAAGAATAATCAGGCTAAGTATTTTGCCTACTTTTAGTCAGGTACCTCATAGTAAGGCAGAAATGATGCTTTAAATTGTATATTTTTATTAACCACTTTCAAAGATACACCTCTAAAGATAACATTTTTTGGATGGTCACTATTTTTTTGTTGAGTTCAAAAAGCTATTCATTACCAAATTCTCCTATGCATAAAAGCCATTAAACAATTTAGTAGCCTTAGAGGAGCCAGGCAAGTCATGGAGAAATTTCAGTATGAGTTTTTTAGAGGGAGGTGTTGGACAATTTTGGATCCAATAATACTGATTGCTAGAACTCCAGCTTTAGCCATGATGATTCTTATAGGATCACCATGGCAATAGTAATGAGGCAAACGAACTCCCTTTCGAATGAGGGTGATGTCAACATGTACCAAAAGGGCCACAAATATGGGGCCCCTCATGACTTTTGATGAAGTAGTGCCATAACTAGAAGGTTCGTGAATGGGTCTTACCATTGTCAAAATGTAAAAAGCTTTAAGGCAACAAAATCGTATGTTAATGGTGATATTGAATATTACTACCGACAAATTTGGCAATGGCCAATTGAACGTCAAGGTGGTTAAACGAGTCCTCAAGTTTTTCGTCATCGCCACAACGGAACAACGGAGCAAACGGTTGGTTGATGTGACATGATAGAAAGTGAATGTCTAAGATACACTGACACATCCTTCGAAGGGGTCATCATCGATTACAAGAGATTGCAACATATTTGAATGCAACTTGCTCATGGGAAAGGGTGGTTTTAATTTCCTAAACACGATGATTTTAAGGTGACAGCTTCTTCTACAGGAAATCCTGACATCCTTCCAAGTTATGTTAATATGCATGTTGGAAGTTATTCTGCTTTGCTTATTAACATAACTTGGAAGCTATCAACGCCAATATACATTTTGAAAGAAACTATATATATATATATATATATATATATATATGGATGGAGGAGATCATCATGTCCTATCCCAATAACATGTATATTGGCGTTGATAGCTTTAACCAGTGGATCCTGCAGACAACTCAAGCAAGAAGCTTTGATGTATTTGGTGAAATTATTCTGTGCGAACGCCGAACATCAACCGGAGACCAATTAAAATGCGTCACGCTACTTTCTGCTCGGTCCTGAGCTCGGTACCACTGACGTGGCGCATTCTGGTTGGTCTCCGAAAGATTAACCGCATTCGACATGCGCACATATTAATCTCTCGATTGACTAGCGGATGTGGAAACTACAGGGTGGCATAGCGAAAATTGCAATCAATGTCAACCTGGTTCTTGGGTTGCCGCTCATTTAGGATGGGTGGTCGGCTACTGACTTGGAGAACATGTATGACAAAGCCGTCCTTGTTCACCATATCTGCCTCCATAATCGCAAGAATGAATGAGAGTTGCTTTAAAGTTAATAAAGTCCTCGCTCATCGCATCCTATCCCACTAATCCCAGTAGTGGTGCTGACGGATTTTGCAAGTGGATCCTACGGATCAAAGCAGAGCCTTTGAATCTACCATTATTGTCACAGCTTTAGCGCGATCAAGAGCCTAACATGAATCCACCATTCTTGTCAAGTCCCAGCACCAGCCCACTTTTTTTTTTCTCTCACTAAGACGAGCTTACACTTGCAATCATGCAGTTACGTTCGAAGTGGCAGTAGCTTTAGTAATTAGTGATTTACGAATATAAAAAAGATGAGATAGTCAACAAACAAATATATATCCGTTTCTTTCACGTTCTTCAAAATAAAAAACATTTAAGCTCTGTTCTGCCTTAAAGAATTGATAGATACGAAATGAAAATAAAATCAACTAGTTTTTTTAATAGAAATTAATTTTTCACACCACATTAGATTGAGGGGAAATTGAGTGAAACATATATTTCTTTATTTGATTGATAAAAACTTGCGCCTTTATTGTTTATAAGAAAAGCATAAATGAGTCCATAAAAATGTTCCTATAAAGTTTACCTCTAATTTTTTACGAGATTTTGAAAGAAACTAATCATATATATATATATTCACTTTTTTTTTCCCGATGAATCTAATGATATGATAATTTCATCGAAATCAAATATCTAAAATAATATTATGAAGTACTAATATCTGCAAACGAAACAAACACTACTATATTTCTCAAATAAAAGAAAATATCTGGCTGGCAATCTCCCACGCAGCACTTTAGCGCAGTTCAATCATAATTCTATTTAATTATTATTTTTTAATGATTTCTCACAGTTTCTCAAAAAATGATTAAAAACTACTTTTTTTTTACAACAAAAATACCAAAACAATTTTTAACCGACATTATAAAAAAACTGCAGCTGTCATAAGCATACCCTGAAATATAACAAAAAAACAGTGTTAAAGCATCATTCATTATGCTCCAATTTTAATGACGACAGTCCAAAAATTTTGAAAAAAGTTGAGATATAAAAAAAGCCATGCAGCCTACTAATTAATTAGAAGCTAGCGTTTCCAACAACAAGTCCTGGACTTGAAATCATAGATATAGGTGACTTGTCCACATTTTTTTTAGGCAGTTCGAGCGATTAGAGCGTGGATCATTTGGGAAGAAATTTTCCCTTCAACCAACTAGCCCTAAATCGTCCACAATCCCCCTAATAGAGAACAAAAAGCTACTCAGGGCATTCTCACGGAAATAAGCGTAGCCATACACAAAACAAAATATAATTTTAGGCAGGCAAACCTGCCCGCATCATGAATTTTAATTTTATCTTTCTTTAAATAACAACAGCAAATAGAAACCAATCTAGAAGAAACATTCATGAAAATACAAAGATTGATATCAATTAAAAGAATCAAAAAGACAATTTTGAGCATGGAATAACCATACGATGCTCTATGTACATACGACTGCCTAGTAATGGCATATGGGAAACTATAACTGAGAAGAAAATAAAAAGAAGAGCTATAAGAAAAGAGATGACCCCATCAGAAGAAGAGCATGCGCGATCCAGTAGCACAGCATGGGAATATCATTTCAGCGGGATATGCGCCCACTGTAGCTACATTAAGATAAGGTACACAAGATTATGTAATGAAGACAACTGAAAACCTAGGTTATCATTTATGGACATACATAATCTTCAAGCCCATGATCTCTTGGTTGATAATCAAAACTTCCCACCAACAAATCAAAATGAGCTGCAAATTTATAGGCCTTTGGGCATACAAAAACATTCTAACCTTCCATAAAAAGCTATTATATAAGACATTTTGGGGTAAAGAACAAAAAAATTTTAAAACCTAACCAGAAAGAATTGCAATTTTTAAAACCTATCTTATATTCGAGTCATTACGGATATATATATGTAGGAGATGTTACTAGTGCTCAAACACAAGGTGGCTTGACAAAGTATTTTCCAATTTCAGTTGATTACATCAAGGATCAGCCTTAAGTCCATATCTTTTTGCTTTAGTCATGGATGTTCTTACTAGAGATTTGCAATAGGATGTTCCTTGGTGTATGCTTTTTACTAATGATATTCTTCTCATTGATAAGACTAAAGAGGGAGTGGAAGGTAAACTTTAATTATGGAGGTTAACCTTAGAGTCTAAGGGTTTTCATTTGAGTAGATGTAAAACCAAATACATTGAGTATAATTTTTGTAGTAATAGATCTAGTGTGGGGTTTGTTACTTTGAGTGATAAGTCATTAATAAAAGTACACGTTTAAAATATCTTGGGTTTATTGATCAGAGTGATGGTGAAATTGATGGAGATATTATCAGTAGAATTCAAGTTGGATTGATGAAGTGGAGGAATGCATCGGGCTTGTTGTGTGATAGAAAAATATTACTCAAACTTAAAGGAAAATTCTATAAAATGTTGGTTAGACCAACAATGCTTTATGGCGTAAAATATTAACCATTAAAAGAGAAGCATAATATTAAGTTAAGTGTTGCAGAGATGAGGATGCTCAGGTGGATGAGTGACTTTACTCTTAGAGACAAGATACAAAATTAGCATATACAGGAAAAGGTTGGAATAGTTCCAGTGGCAGATAAGATTAGAGAGAGTCGCCTTAGATTGTTTGGTCACATAAAATGGCGGCCTTCTGATAACCCGGTTAGGAGAGTAAATGTATTAGATTTAACCTATGTTAAGAAAGGTAGAGGTAGACCTTAAAAAACTTAGAAAAAATATTAGAAATGACCTTTCTTTATTAGATCTAAATGAGAACTTGACTCTTAAGCGGACATAATGGAGAAAAATGATTCATATAGCCGACCCCACGTAGTGAGGTAAAAGCTTAATGTTGTTGTTGTTGTTGTAATTGATGATTCGCTTCAGTCGAACCGGTCAAAGAGAACCTTAACTAAGGATCCTACTAAGCCATAGATTGGTGAAGTGATTTCTCATCTACGAAATACTCGCTTATTCATGATACTTCTGTTAGGAGAAAAAAAACTGAGCATGAATAAAATTTATCTAGTTCAACCAACAAAAGAAATTTTAGATTAATTAAAAAAAAGGTTCCGTTCGAATGAAAAGTAAAAACAGCCAAGGGAAAAACATTACTTCTATAGTTTAGAATCCAGGATGTTTAGGTTACAAAAAAGGGATCATATTTTACGGAAAAACGTCATTTAATGTTAAATATCAGACATATAATATGGAAAGAGAGCAAATCTTATGAACAAAAAATTTTAAGCCATGAATAGATTTGAACATATATGCAGCAAGTATATAAAAACAAACCTGTAACTATGGCGATCAATAACTTCTCTGGATGCAACCGCATGATCACCAGCAGCAGCCATTCCTGGAACTTCATCTTCCACTTGTCGGAATCTATATACAGCAGCGTCCAGAGATGATGGAGAACCCTCATTTGAGCCATTAGAGCTTGACCCGACACGACTTCGTGTTAAATTACGCCCTCTAGATCTCCGTCTATTTCCTGAACACCTTAACTTACCGAATACCTGGTAAAGAATGCAAGAAGACCACCATTTAGCCCCACGACCACCAAAGTCATCATAATCATCTCCATCCTCATCATCACCATATTCTATAACATAATCCCCCAACACAACTCCATGTGGAACTTCTGCGTGTATGGTACTTAGGACATCTATAATATCTGAAGATTGTTGAAAATTCTCCCAATCTAATTGGCGAGCCGGATCTATCTCGGAAGGACGAGAATGAGGGTGTTTCAAAAGAGCATGGCGTTGAAGCTCCACAAAATTGCCCATATAATAACATTGTTTCTCTTGGCAACACCGTTTCTTCATGTTCAAATAAGCACGGGCCTCCTTGATAATGACCCAACCAGTCACCTCTCCTCTACATAAAGGGCAGGCTGGACGGCTCTCACAAGTTGATGGAATCATTTGAGTAGACTCGGTCGATGCCTCACTTGCAATCAAGCATTCAGCAGCCTGAGGTACTCCTGATGCACTTTTGAACCGGTTAAGACAGTTGGAGTGCGTATGGTCAGTATCACACATAAAAGGACGGCAGCCATTGTCATAGGAGCTGCACTGAAGAAGGACTCCATTGTGTGGGAAGTCCAGACAAATGGGACAAGTCACATCTTCCCAGTTAATATTTATCTGAATATTGTCCAAGTCCAATGAGCTCGAATGGCTCAGTTTCCTCAAAGAAGTTCCTGATGCAAAGATAAATTTGACTAAAATGATAACTTCATAATGAGAAGATTTACAGGGACACTCGCAATGAAGCATCCAAAACTCTATAGCATCTTCAAACTATATTACATGCTGAAGAGAAAAGCAAAAGCACCAAAACAATGTTTCTTTCATGCAGACAATAACTAGGACTTTGCACCAAGAAGAATGTAAATATTCCAAATTCAAACATAATAACTTGCACAATAAAATGCAAAGAAGCTGCATATTTCCCCCTTGCATATGAAGCTTTTTCCAAGCATCAAAACAGAGATGGCCGAAACGAAACTAACTGACAATGAGTAAACCTACAATAAGAGCAACATGTAATTGCAGCAACCTATCTTCAGCAAGCTATGAAATTGGCTTGTTCAACAAAAGCAAGTCCGGTCAGAGAGACAAAAAAAAAAAAACAGAGATATTCTACACATTTCAAAACTAAATTGTTTTTTTTTTTTTTATTAAGGGCATCTCCAACCGAAAAACTCATTTTTCACTACACAATGCAGTAATACATCAATATGCAGTAACTTGTCTCCAACCGAACTCCATTTTCTAACACCAAAAAAATAATATTCTTGGTATATTCTTTATCATACTTTATTTTTCGAATTAATATATATATAGCGGGTGTGAACAGTGTTGGCATCGCACTGTTCGCCCACAAGCAAATAGCGGAAGATTTGGCGTTCGACTGGAGCGACCGAATGACGCCATAGTGTTTGGCATTTGACTGGAAATGCCCTAAGGTCCATTATAATATCTATTTCATGACGTTGAGAAGCCAAATGCATGCATGCACACTTCACATGCTAAGCCTTCATTAAATTCAATCTTTATAATATTTCAGACATCAAGTATCCTCCTTGAAACTAGCAGCTCTCATGGCTGAATGTTGGTTACACGAACCTCTGTGATGCTACCCATTTTCTTCCAAGTCAAACATAAAAAAAACAAGCAGTTGACAAGATATCAAGCCAAATGATCTAGCCAGGCCCCAAATATCATGAGTATATCATAAAGAATATCCAGTTAGCAAATTAACTAAACTCATCAACTGACATGATTGCTGCTCCAACAAGAAGTATTTCCAACAACAATCTTTATAAAATCGTTTCACCCAGGATAAACAAACTAAACTGAATCAATCAAAAGTAACAAAACTATTTAGGGGATGCTTGGTAACAAGTAGGATTTAACCTTAGTAGGATTTAGTAAATCCTGTTAAATCCGGTTGCCAAACAGCCCCTTAAGTTCCAGCAACTCCAGAAACATCAAGAACTCCAACAATATCTCCCAACAGAGCTTCAAAAAATCAGTCTAACCCATCCAAAACAAATAATATCATACCACAGTAGAGTTCCACTGAAAAACCAACAATCCAACCCATTAACCACGACTCAAATTAATCTATAGCAAATACTCCAAGTATCCATCCAAGCCCCACTCGAATTCAACCACAGTATCAAGACAATCCCTCAGAAGTTGATCGGATCCCAAACAATTCATCAATCGTAATCATAACTACACAGAAGCAAGAACCAAAAGAACAATTCAACCAAGCGTAATCATAACTATAAACAAACAAACCTTCCTCGTCCCTCCGAATCTTCCCCATCGCCAAGCAGATTTGTGCCACCATATTGCTAGCGTTGACAAAAAATGAGACAAAAACCCTAACCCTAGATCTCTCTCAATAGGTCAGAAGGGAAAGCGAAAAAGGAAGAAGACGAAAAGAAGAGAGAGAGAGAGAGAGGGAGAGAGAGATGCTGCAAATGACTTCGTCATAAGAAAGCGCAGTAAACTGCAATCTTTTTTTTTTTGGTAAAATAACTGTCTCAATTAAAGTTGCTGAGCTCGTAATTGGGCACGTGGACTGCACGTCTTGCGGGCGAGATGGACCATGCGGAGAGATATGCTGCAATATAAATAAAAAATATAAAACCCCAAATGTTTAACATATTTATACTTATACTATTTTTTATTATAAATTTAAATCACATATTTATAATATATAATTTATCATAAAATATAATAATAATACATTTAATCACTTTATTTATATTTTAATTGAAGTGAATAAAATAAAACTTTTATAAATGCACATAATTAAAATAAAAGTCCAATTTATCTTGTATAAATTTATGTAAATATTCCATAAACATTGTTACCAATAATGCAAATAATTACAGATTCATTAAAATCTAGACAAACCATCAAACAAAGGAATAAATAATTAAAAAATAATGTTGCAATTAAAAATATTTTGCCTGCTAATGCATTATTTATTAGGGCCAATTAGTCGGCTTCTTAAAATAAAACAAAAAATATATATTTATTATATTACAAATATTCCATATGGATTGCCGACAACGGCTAATTAAGTGAGGAATAGTAGCAAAGTTTTTAAATAAATATGCGACGTAGAAGAAGATGTCAGGGTAGTGCATTGTGCCATATATGCTGATGTGAACATAAATTGTTAATAATGTAAGAACAAGCGCGCGATCTTTTTTTTGCGTGGATTATAATAATTAATGATTTATAAAAAGAGGGTAGCGGTTGGGATCATAGATTGGATTATTGGATATGAAAGGATTTGAAAGGCAATTCAAAGCTTTTGCCTGTTTTTAAATATTATAATATAGTTTAGTGTGCTATAAACAATAAATTATTATGTGCGGACATCAAATTATTTGGAGGGGAATTAAAGCGTGCCACGACACCTGGTAAACAGCGGTATACAGCCGCAGTAGATATCAAATGAGTGATGTGGCATGCTCTGATTCGCCTCCGAATGGCATCAGGTGTTCGCACAGAATAATCTTTCTGTTAAGACCCAACGGTTTAAAGTCTTTCTTGCCACATCAACGTGTACTTTCTTGCTGCCACGTCAGGATGTACCGTCGGTTCTTATACTTTACATCGGGTCTATATATTGATCCAAACTGTAATAATTCTGGTATCAGTGAAATCAATTCGTTTCTGTTTTTCCCTGTTCATCTTCTTCTCTGTTTTCCACCTGAGAGTTCTTCTCAGCTTCTCAAGAACTTTCACATGGTATCAGAGCTGCTAAGCTCCACCGCTTCGACTCTCGCTCGTCTTCCTCTCGCTTTCTCAATCTGCAGCCGCTAACTATATGGCGGACGAAGATACAGCCGGATCACGCAGGACAGGACCAGAAGGCCGAACCATGTCTACTACCTCCAATCAAGATTCCGATCTTCTCATTCCCCCCCAGCTGAAATTTCTGATCTCAAATGTCAAGAACATGGTTCCAAATCCTCTAACTTCCGACAATTACTCCATATGGCGTCTCCAATTATCTCAACACTTCGCGGCAAACGGATACGAAGAGCATCTCACAGGGCAAGCCGTCAGACCTCCGGACTCGACTCCTCAAGAACAAAACCGATGGAAGCTAGTCGATCGAAATCTCGTATCCGCTCTTCTGGCAACTATCTCTCCTCCAATTCTACCGTACGTAATTAACCTCGGCTCCGCCCATGAAGTCTGGACCGCTCTAGAACGACGCCTTCAACCCACCAACAGATCACGCGTCATTCAGCTCAAGAATGAGCTGCATCAAATTCAGATGCGAGACCGCACTATGCAACAGTATCTCGATCAAATCAAGACAATCGTCGACAACATCGCGGCCGCCGGTTCCACCGTTGATACAGAAGACATCGTTCTCTATATCCTCAATGGGCTGCCCACCGTCTACAACTCATTCAAGACAGCAATCAGAACCTCGCTGCAACCCATTCATTTGGACGATCTCTATTCACTCCTCAGCAGCGAAGAAATCATCCTTCAACAACAGGGGATCAAAGAACAAATGCAACAATCCGAGTCTGCCGCCCTTTTCTCCAATCGCAATTACAAAGGGAGGAAACCGAGAGGCAGAGGTTCTTTTTCAAGACAACAGACGAATGAAAGACAGACGCAGCCCATAGAAGCATCCTCGTCCGCGCGCCCTCCCTCTCAGCGACCGATCTGTCAAATTTGCGGCAAGGTTGGTCACGCAGCTCTCAACTGCTGGCACAGATGCAACCTCAATTACGCTCCGCCGACAAACACCAGAGCGCTGACGGCACAACAACAACAAGCCAATACGCACGACCGGATATTGGACTCTGGCGCTTCATCTCACCTCACCGCGGACGCTACACATATTCAACATTCGGTTCCCTACACAGGTTACGACTCGGTGTCCATTGCCAACGGGAGCAATCTTTCCATTCAGAACTCGGGCCAAGGCATTCTGCCTCTACCCGAGCACACTCGTAAGCTCTATCTACGAAAGATCCTTCATGTTCCGCTCCTTAAACATAATCTTCTTTCTGTCTCTAGTCTTACTTCCGATAACAACGTCTCAATCTCTTTTATCGCTAACGAATTTGTGATAAAGAGTCTTCAGGACAATCAGGTGCTTCTCCGGGGACCCAAACGCAATGGGCTGTACCACATCAAACTTCCTACCAAGCATAACGAAGAAGCTCTTACAACAAATCTGCAATCCAAGAACCCGTGGCACGAACGACTTGGCCATCCCCACAACCGCAAGATCAGCATTCTTGCTAAAACCGTACCAGAAGTTGCAAATTTCTCTAATAATTTCATTTGCATTTCCTGTAATACTTCCAAAATGCATAAACAGCCTTTTTCCGTTAGTAATACAATCTGTAATAAGCCCTTCCAACTCGTCCATTCGGACATTTGGGGGCCTGCTCCGTGTTCTTCTAAACATGGCTATCGCTATTATGCTACTTTCATTGACGATTGCACTAGATTCACCTGGTTATATTTGCTTAACTCTAAAGATGAGGTGTTCAGTAAGTTTCAATCTTTCTGCAATCTAATCAATAATCAATTTAAAACTCAGATTAAAACTCTCCGCTCCGATGGGGGAGGAGAGTATACAAGCGTCTTATTTCGGAATTACCTGGCTGCGAACGGGATAACACATCAAAAGAGCTGCCCTCATACCCCGGAGCAGAACGGCATTGCCGAGAGGAAACATCGACATATAATAGAAATGACGCGGACACTCCTACACAAAGCCAATCTTCCTATTTCGTTCTGGGCAGAAGCCACTACTACTGCTGTTTACCTCATAAACAGACTGCCATCGTCAGTCATACAAAATCAGACCCCCTATCACAAATTGCATGGCAGTCACGCATCCTACTCTCATCTTCGAATCTTCGGTTGCCTATGTTTTCCCTGGACCAAGCCGTATGCCCCGAACAAGCTGTCACCTAGATCTCAGGAATGTGTGTTCATCGGGTATTCTACAGAACACAAAGGTTATCGGTGCTATAACATTCAACAAGATCGCGTCTACATTTCACGCAACGTCCTATTCTTTGAAAATCAATTTCCATACAAGAATTCACAGTCAGCAGAGGATACGTGCGCCTCTCATCCTCAGGATTACTCATCCCCCCTTCTGCTGGTTCCACCGTCCGCTGTGCAACCCACGCGGTATCTCTCCTCGCAACAGATGATCACCCCACCTCAACCTGCTGGCGTGGTCTCTCCAATTCAACTTCCAGATATAACATCCGTCAGCCAACCCAGTTCAACTGAGCCAACTCGGCATCCTATGCAGACCCACTTGCGGTCAGGTATATCCAAACTGAGACAGGTTATGGATCTCTCTGCCACCACTATCCAGACTTCCACACCTACCTCATATGCCGAGGCCTCAAAGCACGCGGAATGGCGCTCGGCCATGTCTTCCGAATATCTGGCATTGATCAGGCAAGGCACTTGGTCCTTAGTCCCACCACCCGCAGACAAACCAATACTGGGTAGCAGATGGACATTCAAAACAAAACTCCTTCCGAACGGTCAAGTCGAAAGACACAAAGCTCGCCTCGTCGCTCAAGGGTGTGCTCAAGAATTCAGCGTCAACTTCACCGAGACGTTTAGTCCAGTGGCAAAGATGGTTACCATCCGAATGTTAATCACCGTTGCTCTTAATCGCAATTGGAAAATAACCCAGCTGGACGTGTCAAACGCTTTTCTACACGGCGAACTGGAGGAAGAAGTGTTTATGAAACAACCCCGCGGGTTTGAGGATGCTCAAAATCCAACACACGTTTGCAAACTTCGTAAATCCATATACGGGCTAAAACAATCTCCTCGCCAATGGTTCCAAAAACTAACGCATTTTCTTTTTCAACTAGGTTTCACTCTCAGCAAAGCCGATCCTTCCCTTCTGCATTTAAAGCGCAAAGACACCACGATCTTCATTCTGATCTACGTCGATGACATACTAGTCACCGGGAACGACCAAGAGCAAATTAAATCAATCCTTCAGCGACTACACTCTGCTTTCAGCCTCAAACAGCTAGGCGACATTTCATTATATCTCGGCATACAGGTTATCAAAACTAACTCAGGCTATTTCCTTTCTCAATCCCATTATGCACACGAGCTCGTCTGCAATGCAGGTATGTCCGACTGTAAGCCTGCACCTTCCCCCGCTACAACCAAAGAATCACCACACAGGGACGAAAGCCCATTCAACAATCCAACGCTGTTTCGCAAGATCGCCGGATCACTCCAATATCTATCCATCACGCGACCAGACATCGCGTTCGCCACAAATGCCGTCTGCCAGCATATGCATAACCCGAGAAACTGCGATCATCAAGCTCTCAAACGCCTAATCCGATACATCAAAGGCTCCTTAGACTTCGGCATCCCTATCACATACGGCGAACTCACGCTGAGGAGCTACAGTGATGCGGATTGGGCGGCAAATTCAAAAGATCGGAAATCCATGTCCGGA